ATGTTAAGTTATTTTATTACGTACATACTTATCAGTATTTTGTTACTTTTAAAAGTCACTTGTTTTTTGATATATTGCAATACTATATGGTTTATATATTTCATTTAAACTTGTGGATATTTGAGTGGAAAATGAATAAAATAAAATGAAATAAAATGATAATTTGACTTCGTGCAGTAGTAGGAGAGTTTTTTTTTTATTACCTTAAGCCTCGTTCAGATATGACGTGATAAACCGCTGCCTCGCTTTTAATTATTATTAGTGTAAATGAATGAAAGAAACCGCCGGGGTCAAATGTGAACGAGGCTTTAATGAGCATCAAGATGGTCGGATATGATAGAGCTGATCGCGGAGGAGTTGAGTACTCTCAGCGAGGATGGGGTTACAAAGAGCTATTTATATACACGAAACTAATTAAGAAAGAAACACGGAGATGAAAGTTCGATGCAGTTGCTTGTTCACAGTATTCTGTTTTCTCCTGCCTCTTAAATTTTGTTCATTATCGTTCTTTCTGTTTTTTCATCGTGTGTATTTCGTTCTCGTATTTATGAGTAGTGCTAAAGGATGGTCCAAGGAAGCTCTAACACTCTCATAAGTATAGCCATTGTTGATAAAGATTTCATTTTATTTTATTTTATTTTTGTTTTTATTTCATTTTATTTATTTACAAACAGCAATACATTATACAAGAAGAGAAACTATTGGTTGGTAAAAGGGGCCATATAATAGCACATGTGCTAGTCGAGCCTAACCCCTTAAACAGCTAAACAAAGTATTTTAAGATGTTTAATCATTGTGCAGCGATATGATACGCAATTTTGAGATTAAATCGCTTGCATTTAAGTCAACTTCTGAGAAAATTTCAGTTCAATCATGTTTACGTTCAATAACATCGTGCTTATGACTGTAATGGGCACGCGAAAAGTAAGAGATTGAGATGAAATGAAGATAGAAACTGAGATTTAAAAAAAAAAAAAGTGGTCTCAGACTACCAGCTCAGATTTATTAACCCATTGAATCGAGGAACCGGGTGGTTTATGTATTAAGTCTATGGGAATGAGAGAAATTCAGAAGTCAACGGATTAACCGTACATCTTCTGACTGTTGGCAGTACCATAGCCGTGTTGCGCAGGGGCAATTTGTCTAGCAAGACACAGCTTCAAGCATTAAACTACTTTAAGTAGTATCTTCCTTAAGTAATAAATTACACACTGTAGGTCTTTTCTTAGATTTAAGCAAAGCCTTTGATTCTATAGATCACAATATTTTGTTAGATAAATTGAATTACTATGGAATAAGAGGTGTTGCTTACACATGGTTGAAATTTTTTTTGAATAATCGACACCAAATAGTTGTATATAACAATGTTTTATCTGACCCAATGCAAGTCACGTGTGGAGTCCCTCAGGGCTCAATTTTAGGTCCTCTTTTATTTTTATTGTACATAAATGATTTAAATTATTGTTCAAACATTTTGAAATTTGTCCTTTTTGCTGATGACACCAATATCCTCTATTCTCATAAAGATATTAATATTTTATGTCAAACTTTAAATAATGAGCTGCAGCATGTATCGCAATGGTTCAATAGTAATAAATTGTCTTTGAATACATCTAAATCAAATTTTATATATTTTCATTATAAGCAAAAAATTATTTCAGCTGATTCATTGAATGTATTAAATATAAAGATGAATGATGTTCCGATAAAACGAGTGCAATCAACTAGCTTTTTAGGTGTAATTATTGACCAAAATTTAACTTGGAATGCTCATATACTTACCATTTCAAACAAAATTTCAAGAAATATTGGTGTCATCAGCAAATTACGTCATATCTTGCCACAAAATATTTTGATTTTATTGTATAATACAATGGTTTTACCGTATTTAATGTATTGTAATGTTGTATGGGGCAACACATACCCAACGAGATTACAACGACTGCATATATTACAAAAACGTATAGTAAGAATATGTCTTATGTCTGATTTCGATGCCCATTCAATGCCATTATTTCAACAACTACAGTTTTTAAATATTTTTCAATTGAATCAATATTGTATATCACTCATGGTTTTTAAACATAAAACTGATAAACTGCCGATTAATCTTACCACTATGATGAAATGTAAAAAATATGTTCATAATTATAATACTAGAAATCCTGATAACTATTTTATTGAAAAATGTCCATCAACAAATTCCTTATTTACTTTTAGACACACTGGCCCGAAAATATGGAATTCTCTCCCCAAAGATATACGTGATACTGCTTTCTTAAACTCTTTTAAATCTAAACTAAAAAAATACTTCATCTGTTTTTAAATCTATAATAATATTTGCATGTTAATACGTCTCCTATGTTTTGTACACTGTTTTGTTATTGTTATACTTTTTATAGCCAATTGTTGGAACTTGTATATGTATCTTTTAATAACAGGGAGCTGCCTCGACAGAACCTTATGGTTTTATTTGCAGTTTCCCCAATTCATTTCTATTGCTGTTTAACTTTTTATAATTCCGATATATTTGTAGACATGTTTCCATTTTGTGTGTATTTTGTGTTTTCTATATTGTATATAATCTGTATCTTATATGTTTTTTATGGACTTGAATTGAAATAAAACTTGAACTTGAACTTGAACTTGAACTTGAACTTAAAAAGCCATTGAAGCCCCATTAATCAGACTTGCCTGGGGCCGTGTATACGTTAGGTGTAAATCAAACTTGCATTAAGCAGCTAATCGCCATTTTCTCGCAGATGTTCCTCGCTTGTTTTATAATTTCGCTTCCAAGTCATATTTCACACAGACATTGGCGTTCAGTGGGTGTACTGGGGCAGTTGACCCCCCCCCCCCCCCCCCCGTCACCTCTCTCTGCCCTCCGCGCACGGGCTTTTTTTCAATGCAGCTTAAAGTCATGACGCACACTTCAATTCAGTTCATGTTATTCAAAACTGTTATTTTAAAGAAATATACAAATCTAAACAACATATAACAGCTACAACATGATATCAATAGAAAACATGGAAATAACATTAACGGAGAAGAGTAGAAGAAGTAGAAAAAGATGAACAAATTCACACATACATTAATGAAAGTATATTTTAGAGACAAGACAGGAAAGACCCACCATTTAAAAGTCTGTCTACAGTGATTATATTAAAATAACTATGTATTTTATTTATTACTCATTATTTAGAAAGAGAAAACAAATGATAATTTAATCACACACATGCACTCGTTCCCATAGACAAATGTCTATAAAGGCATTCAAGCATCGATATTCATGAGATTGATGGTTGCAAATTATGTATAGTCCCTTTCCTACGTAGTTTTGGGAGAGTCTAACCGGTAATTCTGGGGGGCATTTCACAAAACTTGTCATCAGTGACAAATGATATTTTTTGTTATAAGCAACTGAAATCCTTGCTTCTAATTGGTTATCAACAGATTTATCACTGATTTTTGTCATTTGTCATCGAAAAAAAGGCTTTGTGAAAAAAGGTCCCTGGATCGGCTCCCCAATCAATAATTGTATTGGGAAAGAGTTGTTCCCTGTCCATATACAATAATCATAGGATTATTAAGCATCCTTCGTATAAATATTCATGCTATTTCAGAATATTATATTTAGATTAGGAAGGTAAGATCTCTCTCGGAGATATAATTAGGAGGGTTTTGTGAACAAAAAATATCTAGGACGTGCAGTTAATCCTTGGTCTCCATTGCCTTGGAGGGAGGCTAGTGGCAGGATTGAGTCATGGTTGTGTTACCTTGTTCTCCCCCCCCCCTCTCTCTCTCTCTCTCTCTCTCCCTCTCTATCTCTCTATCTCTCTCCCTCTCTCTCTCCCTCTCTCTCTCTCTCTCTCTCTCTCTCCCTCTCTCTCTCTCCCTCTCTATCTCTCTATCTCTCTCTCTTTCCCTCTCCCTCTCTCTCCCCCTCTCTCTCTCTCTCTCCCTCTCTCTCTCCCTCTCTCCATCTCTCTTTCTCTCTCTCGCTCGCTCCCTCCGAGAAGTAGACTGGTAACTAATACTTTGAATGAACTGGACAACAATAAAAAGGTAATGAATTTATGAAAGTTAATTGCAATTCATCTAGGCCTAAATATGTATGGGCACTTCAAATGGGCTCAATCTATTATGACACTGTGACATGATAGTGCCGTACAACTTGCCCACTTGGTTTAACACACAGAGTGACTAAAATATCTGCTCTCGTCTATTCAAATATGTTGTTCTTAATAAGTCAGGAATATTTGGAGTGATCCAATAAACGAATCGTACAAGGTGTAGTGCAATGTAATGTAGTTTATCCCGTTTATTTACCATTCGTTAACAAAATACAAAACGAAATTCTGCAAAGGCAGAAGAATAACAAAAACAATGAGAAAATATTCAAATTAAACATAACATACAAAATGTCTGCAAAAGACAGTCGTATATCATAATACAATATGATCATATATCATATCAAAATAACAAGATATACAACACTCTTGCTTTTAATAAGACAATGATTGATACAGGTAAATTGATTCAGTATAATTCCCACACATCTGCTGGAATTGGTGACAAGTTTAAAATACTTAATATGCATATATAATTGCATATTCCGTAAAATTCCTCCAACTATGAGGCCTCATGGGAACAATGTCAATATACACATGACGTACAAAGTACAAACACTCCTTAGGCGAGGCGTCAAAAATATCGATACCAGCAGGCTGCCGCCTCACGTATTGGCGCATCGAGGCTGCAATTACGGCCGAAGCCTGGCTGGGGCAATTATTTTTCTTTTGTTAGCCCAGCCGGCTTGCGCCAGGCTGGGATCTGAGGCTCGGTTTCCATTCGAAAGGCGGCAGCCGGCGTATGCTTTTGAACGCCATTTCCTACCGCCAGCGGTAGCCGGCAGAGCTAATTTAAAAAATGCAGCCAGGACGCACAAGTGCAGTTAGCTGCCGCTGGCTGGTATATTTATTTTTGACGCCTCGCCTTATTTGTTTCCCTATTCTAACTAAACTTTACTCATTACCCTCTGATAATATAAACTATGTCTTAAGTTCCGAATGGAAATAAATTTGAATAGAAATGTTAACAAAAATCAATTATCTAAAAGCATTTGATCACAATCAAACACAATTTGTCTTACTAAAATTCTGGCTATGAACTGAAGTAATTTCATAAGTGCATTTTGAAATGCTGAAGTATTTCTTATTACCAAAGCATTATACAAAAGAAAGCAATTTTACAAGCAAGGTGCATATCTAAAAGACCAAGTAATTTCTTGTACTGAAATACATTTCAAATATAGTATACATTTACACTACTGCATTAAACCACGTCATAATTATACATTTGCAGAAAAACCAATAAACCAAGTAGCAGCCAAGTCACTACACGTAGGCATTGGATAGGATGCCTCAACAGCCAGCATATACCAGCGATAATCAATAGGACCATGCATTTTTCTGGCTATTCTGACAGCATAATCTGCATGTCATATTGATAACCCATATAGTATGACATAGGCCTATCAATATAATTAAGTTCAAACTCAATAAAATGTTAAGCACTGCTAAAATACTTCTTCAAGACATTTATACTAAAAATGTAGTAACATATAATTTGTTTAATCGTAATCAACTACTTTGTGTCTTATTATAACATCTAGGATAATCAAAAGAAATCCCTACCAACAGCACAGTTTATCGATAATCGGTGCACATGAGCGCAGCTATCTCTACATGTTTGTTTACATTCGGCCGCCCTCTACGACAATTATAACTCCACTACTAGCAACCACTTCATTGCAATAACAACATATTATTTTTTTTATATCTCCGTGGAATGCTGAAACTTCTGAATTCTCTACATATATCATCAATCAGTATAAAAGCGAGATGAAATATCATTGTTGAGATCATACATTAAATATTCATTCAATCCCGTAAGAAAATGTATCGCATGATTCTCTAACACATGAATTCTTTATCACTTGTGCAAGCACAAAATACAACATTTATTCATCAAAACTGACTCTCAACATGTAAATATAATATTTTATATTAGTTCTACATACCAGGGCCCTGTCTTACAACGAGTTAACAAAATATATATTCATGAACTTAATATATCACAAATTTTACCAAAGGGTGTAAACAGGAAGCTCAAATATTTACAAATATCACAATTGTTCAAAAATATTACTCATACAAAATTACAATTCTTAAAAGATTGAATTCATACAACTTTCATGTAAAAAGTTATTACGCAATTAGCACGTTTTATTATTCATAAAAAACCCCGTTTTAGATAATAAGCCCAGGCCCCCAAACTGAGTAACAGCTTTAACATATTTATGGTCATCTGATCAAGGTCTAAAATTTGACTAAAGCCCAGCAGTAGAGGGGGGCATTACAAAAGGAAGCTCACTTGGACTTGGAGGGGAGGATTGGGGAGTCTTGAAAAGGACTCTCGGTAATCTTCCTTTCTCGAGTGTGTGTGTAGTCCTGAAATGGACTGTTGGTATATTCTTGAAAAAGACTGTTGATTATCTTTCTTAGCGATAGTTCCAATGAGGACCTTAGCACCGGTTGGAGAGGATGGGTGGTAGAGTGGCTTTAGGAATGGCTCCAATCCTCACCCTCTCTCACATGGCACAACCGCAAGCCCACTGTATATCGACATCACCGTGCATGCCGATACTTATAAGCAGCATCTAAGATAATGCAGTTCAATAGAACATTGGCAACATGTTATTCACGGCTTCCCTCGTCAACATATCATACATATATACAATAACATTTTCATAATTATTTTGAGCACAATACAACATCAACAAATCAATCTCTGAGTTAAAAGAAAAATTTAAACCCAGATTAATCTACGATGATAAGATCCAAAAGAATAAACATGAACTGTTAACTATCATTTCATGTCTTACCTACTAATTTGTTACAGCTAAAAATTGGAAAGTTAGGAATCAATTGTAATTTGTACACTTTGTACACACAAGTTTTAGACAAAAAGAGGAAAATCAATTGTGCAAACGTAGCTTGAAGGTCCGAAAAATAGGTATCACTTTTTCCAAATATCAAATATAGGCAGCTACTTCTGGTTATTTGTAAATGCACTTTTCTATACATGATACCTGTGAAAATTGAATTATGATAGTGTGCACACTATCGTACATTAGATTCATGTAGTGGGCAGGAAAGACGAGTCCGCACGGGGGACACAATATGTCTAGTTGTTAAAATTTGTAATGTTATCACTCCGATGTAGAATCAAATCTTTATGATATGAAGCCTTTAAACTGTTACACATGCACTATCTTGATATAGATAGATAGATAGATAGATAATGGTTTTATTGAGAATAAAAGAACAACAATGCATCGCGGCCTACAAGGCCGAATTGGGCAATGTTTTACAAATGTAAAATACAGTATATAAAAACATATAAATCTATCAAGTCATTCATTATCAGACATGACAAACTATAATATAAGTAAGTCCTTTTGCGTTTCAGGTGCATCTTTCCAAGACAATACATTTCACGAAGCTCCCTTAATAACCATGTAATGTACTTAGTTTCCGGTACCTGAACAAAACAATGCTAATATTCATATTTCATTCTTGTAAAGCGCACACCAAATTAAAACGTCCTAGGCGCTTTCAGACAGCTTTGGAATATATACCCTGGGCTTAGCTCCAGCAGCTGTTATCAGCGGATAGTACATTTAAAGGAATAAACCTACAAAAAACCTAATTAACTCTCCTGGGTTGAGTGTGGCAAATGTAGATTAGCGTCTTACCAAAGGACGTTAATACTGTGGCAGGGATTCAAAGCCAATACCACGTGGTTCACAATCCAGAGACTTATTCATTGTAACTGTCATCACTAGAACTGCTACTTCTGTCCCGATCTTTGATCATAAGACGGCTGTTTGACTCTACCGATGCTCCGGCATCAAGAACATCCACACAATCATCGCGCTTCATCTGCTTCAGAGTGAGCCTCAGATCCTCGAGGCTGCAAATCTTCTTCTGTCTCTCCGCCAGGTCAATCAGATCTGATGTTGGGTCTGGCTTGTTGGTCAGACTAGCGATGTAGTCATCCAATCGCAAGGCACTAGCAAGTCCCTTCCAGTCGTCATGAGTAACACGGGGACCGTTCAACAGTTTACTCAGCTCGTGCCGTACCACAAGGGGGATAATCATTGGGTGCGGCGGCACAAGATCATGTCTCCCTGTAACATACATGGAGCCGATGTTAAAAACATTCCCATGTATGTTCACCGAGGAGCTTGGAACAGCTGGCCGATCGTTGATTCGCGGGAAGATCCGCTCATCCTCTGATGCAACCCGTGCCGCTGCCAGAGGCTGTGTGGTGAGGTCAGAGGACACTGGAGGTGCAATGGATCCTTCTATTGGCAACGTGGAGCTAGTACCTTGGAGAAAGAAAAATATAAAGATGGTTTGCATAGTACATCATATCAAAATAGAACTCTATGATGGCTTAAGAGGGAAATGGGGACTGAAGGTTCCATGGAAAGCAATGGTGAAGAAAGAAAGCGGTACGGTATGGTGGAGAGAGTCTCAGTAACACCCCATAAGTGGAAACGTTTTTACTTTGATACTGATATTGATGCTGAGGACGGAAGGCTTCTGTCATAAAAGGTCATAATGACAAACATTTACATGTTATACTCTTTTGTGGAAATTCATGGCTTACACTATTTTTAGTGCTTTTTTATACCTGCAATTTGGAGACAACGTTCAACTCATAACTACGATTCATTCATAAAATAAATTTGTAGTCCCATATACACATTTCTGTGTACATTGCATGTGTTCTTTATCATTTCCAGGATTCCAAAACCTCACAGTATGATAGTAATATTAATGGAGAGTGTTTATAAAGCTCATAAGAATTTGTAAAATTTATCTTAACTTTGTGTTAAACAAGAATATATTAACATACATTGTAGCTGAACATAGAATACATGGATGTATAAGAACTATTCAACCAGATATTAATAACATAGTGGGAGCAATATATTACGTATTTGTGACTTGACTGGTGGAACAAGCTCCCAACAAACCCAGAGAAAACCACAAGCAGAACAGCCTCATGAAATCCTTAAAAACAAATACGTTTTAAGGCCCCCGCGAAACCCTCCATGATTGTGACCTATTAGGCTCCCAAATTTGGTCAGGTAGCCCATTTCAAAAGAAAGGTGTTGCGGCTGAAAAGGTATATACCAATACTTATCTGCTACACAAGCAAACTTTGTTGATTGCTTTCAGTTTCTTTCACAGTGGATTAGCATTCCCAAAACGAAGCTTTATCTTTAAATCATATGAAACTAACCCACTGATGATCTTTCTTTGTTCTTCTTGATGCTAACATCAATGGTCCTCTTTAGTTTGTCCTCTAGAGAGTGATCATTGATGCATGCATTTTCCAAACTCTGAAGCGATAACGGAAGATGACTCTCCTCGCAGCATCGGATTGAAATCACCCGGCCATTCAAACTCCCGCCCACCGTCGACTGAAATGCCATCCCCATCATCATGGTCTGATATGGATCGTTCTTCTCGCAATCCTCCTTCGTGATTATAAGGACCACGTGGGAACAGGTCTTCAGGGCGTCCTCGATACTGGTCATTTTCGGGACACCAAGCCTGCTGTCGGCAGCAGTCATCATCGTCCAGCCATTCCTGCGGATGATATCCTTCACCTTATGTACATCATCCGTGTCTTGACTAAACTTAAGATAGATGTCATAGAACTTTGGCTGTCCTTGAGAGGATCCACTGGTTGCACTTCTGCTTGTTTTGTACGATGGAGCGCTTCTTTGTGTCGATTCTACAGTTCTTCTTGCATCTTCATTCTTCCTTTTCAAAGAGCTACTCTTTCTGGAATCTAAAGAACCTGAACCAAAACAAAAAGACGGATGACAATTTTTCAGAATAGTACATTTTCGTAATGTAATCACACCTGATGCACAAATCTTTGCTTAGTGCCTCATTACAAATTATTCCTATTTTTTGATACCATGTACCTTCATATCAAATGTCATCAAAATCCGTGAAACATTACTTAAGTTATCGAACGGGAACCAGATTTCTTAAGAACGGACATACAGTAGCGTTTCCCCTCCGTCTTAGTCGGTGAGGGGAGAATAATAGTAAACCCTCTCTTAATTGACACACGACATAATATTCTATACTAACATAATATGTTAGTATAGAATACTACCATTTTATATATGTTAGTATAAAATACTACCATTTTATATATGTTAGTATAGAATACTACCATTTTATATATGTTAGTATAGAATACTACCATTTTATATATGTTAGTATAGAATACTACCATTTTATATATGTTAGTATAGAATACTACCATTTTATATATGTTAGTATAGAATACTACCATTTTATATATGTTAGTATAGAATACTACCATTTTATATATGTTAGTATAGAATATTACCATTTTATATATGTTAGTATAGAATACTACCATTTTATATATGTTAGTATAGAATACTACCATTTTATATATTATATAAAATGGTAAGATACTTGTTAGCTTATTGACTAGGCACTCCAGATTCAAACTACGAAAATCCTTACAACATGATTCAAGAAAGAAAAAAAAAGGTTGAGAATGAGAGGATGAAGTGACTGCATACTTACTTTCGTTCCCTGACTCCACTCCTTCCTCACTCATACCTGTATAAAAAACATGAAGAAATACATTCAAATTAAGAAAAGAGTTGAGGTCTAGTGGATAAATCAGAGTGCTGTGGATCACAATGTATTGGGTTCAAATCCCTGCCACATCAATATTATTCACTGGCAAGACATAAATCTACGTTTTCGGGGTTTGTGAGTTTGGAGTTTCTTAACGCCAATCTAGAGATGGTTTTAAAATAACAAGACAATTATTATTTGGCCTTAAACACTTCAGGTATAATAAACGTGAACAAAATTCTACACCTGACATCAAATTGAATAAGACATAATATTCTATACTATTTATATAAAATGGTAAGGTGTTTTTGAGATTCATATCAACTTCAATTTCAATTTATTCAACCAGTTAAAGATCTTATGTAAAATGTTATCATATACAGAGTAGTAAAGCTTAGGAGCCATAATCAAATCAAAAGCTTGTTCACAGGGCCCCTTTATTTAATAGGCACACCAGATTCATATTATGACATTTTACAACCCTACTCCTGACACCATGATTCTAGATAATATTAGTCTCTCTATAATTTACATGAGTAACAAAAGAAAAGGAAGGGAAAAAATACCAACCAAAAACAGAACTTCATGAGCACAACCAATCAAATAAAAATGAATATGAATGAAGTGAGGCATGAAGGTATTTAAAGACCGTCAATACTACTGGGCCAGAAGGGATTAGTCCACACAGCGAGGTCACTGACAGGTGGCTATCTCATTAACTCAGCTCTCAACTAACATAAGAAAAAGAAGATCATGAGGGACCAACAGGCACCGATCGGGGAAGTTTTCTATATAGAGGGAGCAAGTAGCTACGAGTAGAACAGTGGGGCTTTCACCCTAATAAGGCCGGGGGCCATTATGGCCCCCTGTCGATTTGTTGCAGCTGCATCAAAACCCCTGAACTTTTGGTGCTGAAATTTTATAAGTTTTTCCCTCATGTCTCTTGCACATTGTGATACCTAACTTATTATGAGTGGACCTATGATTCGGGTGTTAGGATACCAAATATCATCACATGGCTATCAATATAATAATTCTCACAAATGTAACTATGTAAGTATATTTCCCCCAAAAAATGTGCATATTGTCATACAAATATTAATATAAAATAAATAAGAAAACACAAAAGTAAGTAAACAACACCGTCTTACTCGATATACTTATACAATATATCATCATTCTAATTTTCATATTAATGGACCTTTCTAGGCCGAGATCTTAGGGGGAAGGGCATAATGCCCCCCCCCCCCCGGCCGTATTAAGGCCTCAAATAGCCTGGCCTTTTGAGGGTAAAAGGAACAACCAATACATCTCCAATCTCACCGTTTGTGGAAAATCGGAATTTGTATGATCAAAGTGAAAAGTGCACCAGATCATTATGGCATGTTTTAGAATTATTAAAACAATTTAAAACAGAATCAGGGCCTTTTTACAACACAGGGAGTACCAATAACTCTTTATACACAGAATTCCAATAATTGCACCAATAACCCCAAAGTGCGGCGATCAGCTAAAATCCTATGTGTGTACAGAGAGGAGGTATAAAATAAACTTAACACAATTTTACCTGACATTCTATGCATCATTAGTTGAGGAGTATAAAGAAAATTAAATATAACATACCACCCCCCCCCCCCCTCAACAAACGAAACTAAAGTTGAACCTAGTCCATGTCAATATATACAAGTGTGTCAACTAGTTTACACATGCGTGCATTTTATTTATATTAAAGACGCATATTATAGTGGGCTCTCATCGATAAATTGTCACCATTCGGGTGTTTACCAATAACAGGTGTTATGAATCACCAGGTATACCTTTCAGTTTTATGACCAACAGGCCATATATAATGATTTGCATTTTCCACCAATCAACCCATATGGAAAAAGTTATTATCTTACATTTCCCTCACTCAAAGACTCTCCAAGAGACAAGGGGGTATTAAATAATGGCACCATCGGTTTGCTGTGTGGGAGATTTGTTTCAATACAGAGCAAAAATAGTTGTTGGTGGGGTACCAATTCTTAAAGACCTACCGAACTTGTACTTGATTGCAGCTGTATTGATGTTATGTAGTCCACACTTGAGTGACATTCCTTTGAAGCAGTCTTTAAGCATTTTCTTCTTACTGCAGCTCGGGCACAGAAAGAGTACATCATACTTGATCATCCTAGCCCACTGCTGAATGAGACTATCAAGGGTTTGGGTTATAAAGTCCATCACCTGCCATAAATACACAAACAGCCCCAATACAGATATTATATTTGAATTTTGGGGGGCTGCTTCAAGGTTATTTAACTTTGATTTAAATTCGCAGTAGACGGATCTGCAATGAAACTGTCATTCGGAAGTGCATGAATCGCACGTAACATTGGCTTGTTTTCTCTCTTAACTTAACAAAATCGGCAGAGACACTTGAACAGGTATTGCCGGTTTGGGTGGAGGGAAAAATGTTCCTCTTATCTTCCTTATCCACAAACAGTACATTTATGTTGAGGTTTGTTTCCAATATATCTCTATCCAAATTAGTCGAACTATTAATATTCTCTTGGAAGTTCATTAACAATTGTCCATAAACCTACTGACACAGAACGGTTTCAGAAAGGTCTCCCATTTTGATGAAGCACAAAGTTTCACAGTTTGATAACTAAACTGAATTACGACATAAACTAGATGTAGAATATGGCTTAAATTAATCATACATTCAGGAAAAGATTTGGAGTTAATCCTGCCTTTAACTGTAGTTGATTTCTAAATCAAGTTTAAGTGCAATTTGGTATAACTTTACTGTCCTCTAATCTAAGAAGACTCATAGTTTCACCACAATTTAAGACATGGGACCGTTAGTGTAAAGTTAATTACAGTTATATTTGCATAACTCAAGTACAAGTCATATTGTTGTTATTAGTTAAATCAATTTTCTTGAAAAACCTATGCAAATCATGTGTTATTTACTCTTCGTAGGTTGAACTTTTACTAAGTCAAACTATTTGGGTATCAACCGATTCGACTTATGCAACTAGAAACACATGTTCCATGACACATTCAAACAATTATTTACCAGTGACAGTTTCAATTCTATGTTTCAGAGACCTTTCTCAGATGTGTACTGGCAGACACAAACGAGCTACCAGTTTTCCAATCGAACAACAACATAATTTTCTCTGTTAATTTATATTGTGTAGTAATTGAAACCATCCTTTTGAGCTACCTACCTCTTTGACAGCGCTTGGGGCAGGGGGTTTGTGACTATCCCCATCATGATGAGAACCAGCAACCGCTCCTTGATATACAATGACCTGACATGTTCAGCATCAAATGTAAAGGGAAACAGATTTTTATTAATATGATGGTGTGTAATTGTTTGCATTTCCCCTCAGTTTTGTGAGGGTTATTTATTAATTTATTTATACATTTTTAAATATTGTGTTCGTTCCACAGAGCATGTTCCTCAGCACACATTAACTGATTTGCAAGAGAGTACGTATTACCTGATACAATTAAAATACAATGTAAAACAAAACAATTATAGAATAACAATATATTTCATACATTACAAAACTAAACAAGAACAAAAAGAAAGGTTGAAAATGAAAACGATTATATTGCTTTTGATCAACTCTTTAAAACAACATCAGCTACGAATGTATGTGTATTTAAAACCAATAAAAACGGTGAGATATTATGAGCTTCCATTTTCAGATTAGAGCACTAAGAACCAAACCTTGATACTAAATTATAGGTACAATTTAAAAGGTTACACAATGCAAATATATATCAGAGAAATAAGAGCACTGGTCCATTACGTATCGACAGTATTATTTTCTTTGGGAGAATGACTATAACAATGCCCGGCGGAGATTATTCGTTGCCTTTGTATCCGATGCACGGCCTCAAAAACTTTACATACAATTTAGTATCTCCACCATGATAACAAAAAGGTATCGCTAACGCTTGACTCAGACCTTGATAGTTGCTTCACATGGAGTTAACATCTCTATTAAGGCATGGTGCACTCCATCAACCATTAGACTGATGTGACGATGGAAAAGAGTGACGGGTTCTCCATCTCTTTCACCCATCCATCTGACTGCTCTCGCCATCAACCGATGAAACAGCCCATCTGTAGAAATGACAAATGAGAGAGGTGACGAACAGATTATGGCTAGTAATGTTTTGAAAGCCAGCTCAAAAAGATATATTAGCTGCAATAATACTTAACGACAATTATATATTTCTGAGAAACAAAACACGAGTTTCTAACAAGATGGACCTAACTCCGACTATCAACATAGTCATACCTATGTCTAGTGGCTTTTACACCTGACCGCCCTGACACGTCCTTTGGCAGGACATTAATCTACATCTGCCACTCTCCACCCAGGTGTTAAAAGGGTACCGGCAGGAAGGAATCCCTTGATTTGCTGGGGTAACCTACAACAAGTAGCCCAGAAGAGCTGGGGTAATATTAGAGCACATTGAGCAACTTGCGTGGTGGATATGTGCACTTAGAAATCATACAATATTGATATTATCGTTAGAATTAAAGCAAATAAAAATAATATTGTAGATTTAATTTGATACAAAAAAAGTATCAGAAATAGTCTGTAGCTTACCATCTTCCTACTCAAGGCAGACAAAATATATATCCTTTCTGGACAGGTGGCCACTTAGACAGGTTTGACTTTAAACAGACCTTGTTGCAATTTAATTGCCATATAGTCTCTTTGGAGCAAGAAGGTCATTAACACTATGATACAGTACACGTGTTAACACCCTTTTAGCTGTAAACAGATGATAAATTCATCCTCACCTGGTAAGAAGCCTCTGAAGTCAACATACAAGTCTGTAGAAGATTTGATCTGTGCCTTCTCTTTTGGGGGACAAGGGGACGTCAGTCTGGAAGGAACATAGTACCGCTTCTGTAGCACCTTTTCTGCTTCATTTGATACCTAAAATATAAAACCATATCCAAACACTTAAACCATAAATACAAAACAAAATATAGCAAGATACCCAAACAAATATCGAGAAGTTTAAGCAAAAAACAGAGCAATTCATATTCTACTCAACATTTAGTTTCACACATCTAACTCCTGCCACTAAATTTTTGGAAGTTTCACAACAACATCGACCCATTGAGCCATTCTGATTTCCAATTTCAGAAATATAAATTGTTGGTACCATTTGTAAAAGCTTTAAAAACTCTCCATAATCTTTACATTTCACATCACAAGACAATTATTTGTAATATTAAGGAACATGTATGCAAATATAAAACAAATTACATTATCCAAAATGAAGCACATTTATAATTTGGACTTTATGTACCCATTTTCAACCCTGAGTCAATATTTGCACATATAATTTAAATTTACAAAAGCTGGTACATGTCCTTTGTTTCCTCCTATATTCCTCCTTCTAGTCACAATATTTTGAGGTTAACCTGAAATACTGAGGATAGGGTGAAAAGTTGCTTTTGTTTTAATGTCCCATCCTAACTAAATGTATAATGTCAGCAATGAACCCACAAATATACCCTAATCTTAACCCTAGACTGAGAAACCCAAATACAATTATAAACCTAATCATATACTTATGATAAAATACATATTGGGCATTGCCGGGGTAGAACGGGTAGGAGCACTATTTAGCTGGAGATTTTACCTCAGTGTCTACTGCATCCTGTTGATCTTGCTGTAGTCGTTCTACAGGAACCTCACAGATGAGATCAAACTTAGCCATGAGCTCGACTAAGGCCTCCTTCTTCTCCAAGAAGCCTTCCCACATATGCTGAATCAACCTATCCTCTAAGATACCATCCTTCTCAAGAGTGGTCCAAGCATCACTCACGATCCCATCCTTAATTAAAACACAAAGTCAACTTATTGGCAGTTGTTATAAATGGACACAGGAGTATAGATTGCTAACCATTACTACATGGTGAGGAGAGAGCTTTGTTACATCAATGTCATAAATAATATGTCCTATCATTGTTATCAATACTCTAAAACTCTGTCTTTCAGGCGACTTATTTACAGCCTTCTTCGCATAGGTCAGAGTGTCGAAGGTTACCGTAATATGTTGTTAAGAGTACTGCCGGGGGTAATGATACATATAAAAGCTATCACATACATTATTGATGTATCAAGCTCTATATAAACCCAGAATATTATTATAAATGGAGGAGAAGGTTCCTCACCCTTTCTGCAGAACCCAAGATGGTATTGACCTGCTTGAAGACATCGATTAGCCACATCTACTACGATGTCTTGTCAGACAGACTGCATAGGACCTTTGTGGTACGCACTTAGTTTCGAATGCCCACTTCCCATTCATTTCGTAATTAAAAAAAAAAAAAAACGCTGCAGCTCACCGCAGCAAGAGTAAACGAAGTTTTAAAAGAGTAGATTTCTCACCCTCTTTGCAGGATCCAGAATGGTTATGACCTGCTTGAAGACATCAATTAGCCATTGAGGATTCAGGATAACCATGTCTCGCAGGAGAGACTGCTGGTCTTCAATGCCTCCGTAGTAGACTACATTACCCAGGTCGTGGTAAAAGTTCAGCATCGTGGGGAGTTCACGCTCCGATTCCATCCCGACCGGCTCTGTCAATTCTTTGGTCTGGGAGAATGCAACAAAATGGCTTCAAAATCATAATATGATTTGTGAAAAACACCTAAAAAAGTATCCATCAAATTAATAAATATTATATCAGTAATATCAAATTTAATTTACGCAATGCATACACATAATATGAATATAGTAGTGAACCGAAACTTTAACAGAAGGCAACATGTAGCCTGAATCTTATGCCAAAATGTGCAAAGGCACATCTATTAATTGAGACAGGCATAAAGTCGGACATAAACAACATTGAAAGGGTATAATTGATGGATGCATTTAAATAATATAGCATTACGTATTTCCAACAATACCAGGAGAGTTGTACGTAACTATGTAGAAATGAAATAAGGACTAAACTAAAATTTCGTTGAAAATAAAATACATACAAATCATTTTGTTAGAACATCCAGTACCGAAAAATGGCAAATTTGAAAGAAAAAAAGAAAGTTTAAAGAAATAAAACCCAACTAGGCGTTCAAAACTTGAAGTTCCAATATGAACTGCATATTTATAAAATTGCTCTATAATTTTCTTCCACTACAATACCCAAATTATTTGAAAATGGCAAGAATTAAACGTTGCAGTCCTACCTGATCTAACGACATGTAATTGATTTTATCCACAGCTAGAGCTTCCTCAAACAAGAGCCATCTGAGTGGAATCTCTTCTCCCATGTAAGGCTCTTCCATCGCTACTTTCTCAATATGTCTCCTCAACGCGACCAGCTACAAAGGAAATTAATTATTGGTTGGTTTATTTTTATTTCTTGTAAACGTGACATGTAGCTCATGGCTGATATTTTCTGTTTTACAAAGTAATCAGATATTTACATTGTAATACAAACATCATTATACAAAAGCAATATAACAAAATAACAATGGTATTCCACCACAGGCACACATCAATATTAGAAAAGATTTAGAAAAAATGCAATGAAGATGTGGATAAATAACTACAGCGTATCAAAACAATTAAGGTAATGTCAATAATTATTATCTATATGAGGCTTCCAAGGGGTACAATAAATCAGTGTATACAATATCTTTAGCGCAGTACCTGGACGACCGACCAATACTGTTTTCGTATTGCTCAGTCATCCGGGAACTTCAACTTAGCGCAAAAATAAGCGCGACACAGTCAGACACGCGCAATGCAGGATACGCTTATTTTGCGCTTATTTGTTAAACAATGGGTTATGTAATTGAAGGTTCAAACCATTGGTTAAGTTAAACATCCTTCGTGAATTCGGGCCAAAGCCATATATACCAAGGTAATTAAGTCAAAATTTTGTTATTTCGCTAGTCAGCTTAATACAGATAATAATAATAATAATAATATAATATGGCGTTGTTTTTGTGTGATATAAGAATATATTGCGCTCGCTATGACACTTTTAGACTCGTCTTTGACTCGTCCAATATTGTCATAGCTTGAGCAATATATTCTTGTATGCCACTCAAAATTTTATATAAATATTCAATGTTAAATTTAATTGAGCATGTTCAGGAATGATAAAGATAAAGACCAGTAATGGCCATGCGATCGCATTGTGAAAGAAACGTTGTGGAATCGATCAGCAAAGGTTGATCATCTAGCATATAAGTATTGGTGTGTACTGCAAGGTTTTGGAATCATCAAAATGATAAGAAATTTGGCCCAGTCTTGGTAAAGTTACAAGCACTGTACGCATTGTACATGAAAATGTATATGGGACTACGCACACGTGCGCGACACGTGCGTTATATCTATCAGGTCAAAATATATATAATAATTCACCAAATACATCATTTAGTAGGCGGCTTCTCAAAAATATTTGTAGAGTTGTAATATTGCTAGAGGCAATTAAAGCATGACATTTGTGTCAAGTTTTCTACGAAGAATAACTACTATATGAATCAATCCCAGTTGTATTTAGGAAGTAAATGCATACCATTGATTTTCGTCAAGCACAGTGGATACAAATCAGTGTCAGTATAACCACATGTACTCTCTGCATATTCGAATTTGTTTATGCGCAGTAGATTAAAGTAAAGTAAATATTATTTTCATGAATAATTTGTCCTAGCATAAGAGTGTTTTGGAAATTATCATAGAATCAGTGACGAATTATTTGAGGATTTCTATCACGGAACCTAGTCGGGCAAAATGCAATGAATTATTAAAACAAATATTGCATTTTCTTTGTGTTTTTGTATTTTGGGGGGCGGCGACGTACCCTAGCCCCCGCTGCGTACAGTCATGATTCAGTGGCTAAGCGATGGCCTCCTTATTGTGAGCCCCCAGGATCAAAACCGTGTCGATATGCTTTATTGGTGCCCTTTTATAAGGCATTATTGCTCATTACTGTCAGTTATGACTTAAGGACGTAGGTCCCCTAGTAGATTAGCATAATAGCATGCACATACTTTAGCAGTCATGCAAAACGTACACTCACAAATTATTATTCAATAAAATCTGAGAATGTATACTATTATCTAGATCTAGTAGGAATAAATCATTGTTAAAATCTTTCCATAAATCGGGGTAAAAAAAAATATTCCACCACTATGACCAACAGTGTATTGCGGTTATCCCTCTTCTTGTATACTGGGATTACCTTTGCAATTTTTAAATTCCAGTTGATAGTGAAAGATTGAAGATATAAAGTAACGGTTTGGTTATGTAAAATATAACTTTCTTTACAACAATGGAACTTATGTTATCCATACTAGTGTTTTTACTCTTCTTTATTCCACTGACAATATTGATTAATTCGTTTTCAGTAACAGCTTTAAAATATTATGACCTTTTCCCAGGGAGGTGGTAAAATAGATTGATAAGATATGTCACTATCAACTGGAATAGTACTTGACAAAGATGGACCAATGTTGATTAAAAAAAAATTATTGAATATATTAGAAATATCTTTACTATCATTTATGTCACGACCATCTACATTGAAGCTAGCAGGTGTTTTATTTACAGATTACCTAGAATATCTCGAATGACATCCCAATTTTTGTTTTATATTACTTTTATGTTTTTTAAAGTCATTAAAATAATGTAATCTTTTAACTTATTTTGGACATTTATTTACACTATTTCGACATTTGATATATCGCATCTTGTTAATGTTCGATGGATGTTTACAATATAAGTTTTACATTGTGTTCTTTTTATTTACCATCTTTACAATTTGTTTGTCATAAGAGGTGTTCTACAAATTGCATGTTTTTTTAAAGAATTATTTTGTACTAAAAAGTTTTGTTTAATATTTGGACATAAATTGTTTTAAGAAATGTTGATTAGCTACATCGGCATTTCAACAATTGTGTACATCTTCCCACACTGTGTTATCTAGATTAATTAGGTTCTGTTTATTAACTCATAGCCATGTTGCAGCATGCACGCTATAGTGCTTTGTTCATGCGAGCAAACCACTGCTATGGTGCCATCTGCGTGCGTGCACACCATTCATAGTAGCAGTCATTGTTCATGCTCATTGTAGTGTGTTGTGTGTTTTGCACGCGCTATTCATAGAACCATCGCGATAATCAGATTATCTCAATATAAACTTGTCACTGAGGAATTTGGGACTTGGCACAATGGGAATTAGCCCTGTGGCATGATAACAGTTAATAGTTATTATTATTTGTATTATGATTAAGGTTTTGGTTAGCCGTTATCTGAAATACTGGTAAATGGTCGGACACATTAGTGTAAATATACCTCTTCATCTTTGTCCTCTAAGCTGTTTTCAATGGCATAATACTTGGGGACCACATGGCATTCAAACGGCATTCTCATGATAGATTCGCGGATCTTCTCATGGATCTGCTCAAGCTAGAAGACAAAAAGAGTGAAATGAACAGAAAATACACAGTCAAAATTGTAATCATGCATGGATACCTCACTTTAGATGAAAACATGATAATCTATGCACACAAAATAATACCGATATGATAGCAAAATGCAATTAAATTCCACCTTGATATCTCATTGAGTTTAATAAAAGGACAAATATTAGAGAAACAGATCAGTAAATTGAACAAAATATGTCTAGAAATAAGAAAGTCATTAAAATTTGAAGTTATAACCAATTGAACACGAATCTTTAACTCATCTGTTGAGGTCGTCTCCCATTTGCTTGGTAGTGCAGATTTCATAATTATTCATTTTCTTGCTTATTTAATAAAGAAATGGGGCTGTGTAAAAACAAATTTGTAATGATTGATTACATCTAGAATGCACGTATGACTGAAAGTTTTGTTTAGATTAAATAAATATTTGCTTCAATTTGCTTAAATTTAATTCTTTTTAATTATATATTGCTAAAATGTTAAGTGATCCGTTTATCTAATTTTCTAGTACTATCAAAACCAAAATAACTGATACCAGGGTGAAATTTTACTTTAAAACTTCCATTCACAAGAAAGTGTAAATCCAAATGTTGCAAAGTTATATAAAGAACGAAATGGCCGCTCAGGGTTAGACAGAAATAAGCGCCTGGTAAGGTGGATTCTTTAAACAAACTGACAAAGACTACTGCTAAACTGAAAGTCTTTCTAAAAATTAAAAGTTAATCTAGGAGCTATTAAAATGAGCAAGCTATCGTAAGACAAAATATATTTTTCATTTTTTGTTATTTTTTACAATAACGGGGAGTGTAATATTGCAGCCAAAGGGGATATATGAATATGTAAACAGTGACATAAATTGTAGCATCTTATGTATGTCGGTCTGGCCAGTTGAAATCACATTGAAACAACCGTCGATATCTGAAACCGAAGCTTTCAGGCTAAATCAGGGTATGGTAGTTTTTGTTCGACCCTTTTTTGTCGTTTTGGTGTCGGTCTTGTTGGTGTAAGTGGAGTATTAAGGGTATCTGTAATCTGCTGCGTGATGTCGCACGAAAGAAAGAGGAAAATCCTTCAGAGATATCCCCGAATTAGAGATGTAACTTGGGTAAAATGTCCAACATATCCTATACAGCGCACGCGACCTGCAAAAGTTTCTCCGAAGGCAAGACAAGTTTTAAATCACTGCACGATCGAAATAGCTTTCAGGTACGTATATTGCGCATGCATGAATGTGTACCGCGCACATGCCCAACGCATGCAACGTCCACCGGAAGTATGTAGAGGCGCACATCTGGGCATTGGGGGGGGGGGGGGGAGGGGTATTCCCGATATGAAAAATTGCAGGACCGTCAAGAAGAACAGCTGGGGTAAACACAATTATAAACCTCACTTAAGAAATCCAGCTATCTGATTGGTCGAAATTGCAGTGGTGGTTTTAGCCATTCCCGTAAATAAAAGAAAAATGCCAAACCTATGGTATAGTTAAAGAGTAAATCAGTAAAATCCCGGCAAAATTCCAGTCACCGGAAAACTAGTTCAATCTTGCTGAAATACCTATTGGTTCACGTGTTGGTGTCTGGTTTGAGCGAGCGTGGATACCATACATCGTGTTTGCGAATTGGTTGGTAGCTTAATTTTTAGATTTTTTAATAAGACGTCCGGCGATGTCGATCGTACTACTAAATCCGGCCTAGATTCTACTTATAGTTTCCAAACAAGGCAAAAATGGTTGAAAAAATTCTTTCTAGATTTCAACTTCTTAATGACGATCAATTGCAAGACATGATTAATTCTGCTGACAGCAAGAACACCAACAGGGTACGTGAAATTCTCCATAAAAATATTCAAAGATATTTTAGGTCTAGATCTAGGCTACCTGTAAGTTATCAACAGAGACCTCGATAGCGTATTAAAACAAACTTTCAAACTCGGAGCTGGACAACGTAGATCTAAGCCAATTTTTACTATCAGATTCGGACTTCAGCGTCATTTCCTCAATTATAAAAATGTCGACAGCATAACTTAAGCATGAAGATTTTTCCATTCGACGAGAGTTTTTAAGTGTTTTTCAGCAATGATTAAACAAGGAGGAAAGGGATTTGTGACTCATAAACAATCTCAGCAGAAGACATGGACAAAATCCAAGGTTCGCTTGATTTGGATGATCCTCTCGGTCTTCAGGACAAGGTATTTATTGATGTTATTACACTTAACAGCTTCGAAATTTGTGAGGAATAAGGCCTAGACCATGGGGGAAATTCCTAGAACAAGATCTAGACTAGTCTAACTATCAAAGATACACTCATAAAAAACAACCGTGCAGATAAACTAGAGAAAAGCCAAGGTGGTGACATAAGATGACCTTTTCTCAGTATATACAAGAAATAATGACTGCTTTAATTTTCGAGAAGTAGTTGTTTTTATACGCTCTCGGGGAGGTTACAATCGTGGTATTGCCCTCGGCACGCCTCGCGTATAAACACAACTATTTCTCTCAAAGCAGTCTTTATTACTATACTTTTATTTTATTATCACCAAACATGTATATCATACATTATTACCTTTTCCTTTTTCTCTTTTGCATCTCCTTTCACACTTTCTCGATGCGTTCCAACGATGAATATTGGTGGAGATTTCTGGGCGGTTTTAGACGTACTCTTTTTTATGACTGAAGACGGCGCCACAGCATGGGCGTAGATGGAATGCAACCAAAAATTGATGAACTCTAGCCATGTCAGTTCTGATTTGGCACCTCCGTTAACCTGCGTTTTAATTGTAAAGAAGTATATATGATAAGGCCAAATCATAACTAGATGGAACTTCGACCGCGCGCAGTCGAAAATGATGCCTCCGCCCTAGAGCGATTTTACAAACCAAAACGGAAGCAAGTTTTAAAGATACTATGTCCCTTTTGCAGCTAATATCAAATTCTGTAGAACTTTGCAGGAATTATGAATAAGTCATGTATGTCCTATATTCATAGATCTGTGAAATTTGAACGTTAGCAGTGTCATAATATTCAAATTATGCAAAGAAACCCGTTTACTTGCTAGACTATACTGTCAGACATTATTGAGTGACTGACTGCTTTTTTAAAAATCTTTGGTAATAACATACATAATGAGCTGTAAAGGGCACATGAGCATTTGTCTACATCAATAACCCACTACTTGTGATGGCCAAAATTAAACTGATTTAATCTTTGCGCAGCATAAAACGTACATCCATTCGGTATAATGGTCTGAAAAGTCAGACTATTACTAAATGGCTCTATAGCTCCTGAGTCGATTCGACAAATAATAGTTGTTATTTTCCCACTTAAAGACATTTTCAAGCCCCCCTTCTTTTAGGGAAGTTCTAAATTACGGTCTTTCAAATGCCGTTGGAATTTAACCTTGTCACTTTTTGGCCTGCAAATGGGACATAGTACCTTTAATATTCAAGTTTGATTGTAATCCATACACAGGTTCTCAGAATATCGTGATTACAAGCTATTTTTCATATACATGGCTCTGCAAGATACATACATGTTCTGAGTTTGATGGTAATCCGTCCACCGGTTCTAGTGATAACGCGATCACAAGCTAATTTTGTATACATTATAAGCCCTGTGTCCTTCAAACTTTGACCTCGTGACAACAAAATCTGGTCAATCCATTGGCTCTGCAAGATACATGCCCCAAGTTTGGCAGGAATCCATTAATCGGTTCTTGAGATAACGCGATCAAAAGCTATTTTTGCATTATTATTAACCCCTGTGACTTTTGACCTTTAACCTCGTGACCCTAATATTTCAATCAGTTCATTGGCTTAGAAAGATACATGCATGACCCAGGTTTAGAGGTAATCCATCAATCGGTTATTGAGATAACGCAATCACGAGAACGGGACGTACGGACGTACGGACGGACAACCAGAAAACATCATGCCTCCGGCTACGTTGTAGCGGAAGCATAAAAACACACAAAAACACCATTCTTGGTAATCATTCTCATATCCCACTCTTTTGTATTTTGTGTTAGTTTTTTGGAACGATCTATTGGTTTATATATGTTCATTGTCTTTCAAAATACCTAACCGATGATAGCATGATATTCAAATCATATAATCAATACAATATCATGAATATGTACTTACTTTGTAATATTAGCATAAAATATTCATTAAGAAGGATTGCAACATAAACTAAGCTTAAAGTACGGCAACTCCATATAAAGTAATGTATACAAAAAAAGGAATATTGAGGTCAAATACTATCTAACAGAAATAGAAATCAATGAAGGATGGAGATTAAATAATAACATGTATGAAAAGATGACTGGAGAAGATGGTAAATTAATAATCAAGAGAAATAGCAGTACACCTGGATAATTATTTGGTAAAACATTACCAGCTATTATGATTGGTATTTTTTTTTCTCTCAAAAGTTAATCGCTTTAATGACATGCACAGGTGCGGACATGATCGGCAGGATGACCTTATAGGTCTACGTGTATTTTTGAGCAGAGATGGACTTTCAAAGAGATAGAGATTTCAGCTATTTAATCTCACAGTACACCCTGCTCTGATAAAAGACGAAAAGGTGTGTTAATATATCACTGTTTAAATTGTACCAACAATTACACATGAATTAATCTAGACGGCAACAGGTAGTTGAATCTACATTTTAAAATAGTTAACATGAACAAGAGCTATCATAATATTTGGTACGAGTAATGGATTATACAAATATTTAAAACTTTACAAAATAACTTTGGCAATTTAAGTAATCTTTGGCAAAAAAAAAACACAACACTCTCTAACATTTGTCAATCCCCTGTAAAGCATAATTAATTTTTGCCAAGCAGTATGAAGTGAAATAGAGAAATACCTTTTCAGATTTCTTGTCTCTGGATTCAGGGGGAACGACATAGCCCAAACTTTTACTGAGATCAAAGACAATCACATAAATAGCTCGCCACGTCAGAAACACCTAGAGGAGAAGGGAATAAAAATGATGCATAAGTATTAATAACTACCATGCTATGTTGTTTATATACGTTCTATTATTTATATCAGGCTGCCGGAGCTAAAGCTAGGGTGATAAAGTCCAAAGCTCTTTGAAAGCACTTAGAGATGTTATTTCATAACGTATTCTGCGCTATACAAGAACTGAACTATTATTTTTGTTTTAATTATTATATATGAATAACAACTAAGGCATTCATAAATTTGATGTTTTTGTTTTAGTTGTTCGTAACCCATGAATACAAGATGGGCTAGTTAAATTAGGGCCTATGTTATATACTTTTTGATGCAAGCTTCAATATGTCACATTCTGAAGAAACATTATTTAGTTGTTAACTGTATTAATATAGAGAGTATAGTTCATCAGTAAGGGCAAGAGGTCTCTACATTGCGATATCTCTGTTCAAACTCAAGACAAAGCATTAATTTCCAAAAATGTATTAAGTTCTTTGGATAAAACTGACTGACGTAGATCCACTGGCTCCATATATAGAGCCGGTGTCAATTTGGGAGTATCAGTGCTAAGATACATAAGGATAAACCAACTACTTGCATATACACTACCAATTCCAAGATAAGTGTGTGACAATTGCAGGTCAAAGGAATAACAAACTTATGTTGACAAAGAATTTTTTTTTACAAAATTAAGACATAGTTCTAGAGTTTTTACAGTTCACAAGAAGCTAGCAATTATTGACTAATGTGAAGTCTGTTCTCCTACAGTGGAATATCAAATATATCAAAGAAGCAATAATTTAGACACTGGGCATGACATTGCATCTATGACTGGACCACACATTAATGCACCTTTATAAAATGTATGGTAAAAACTAATATGTAGGCCAACAGCTGTACTTATTAAAAGTACATGAATCTACGTGCCCTGAACTGAATCATTGAACTGAGACAATGGAATAATAGTCTCAATTTCTACTTTCTTTGAGAATGAGATTTATACACTGAAACTGATCAGAAACAAAAATCGCAGGAGAAATATCAAATATTTAGCACATAAATGCCATAATGAATGTATGGAAGATAATACAATTTTAATTTTTATCAAATACCAGAATCTAACAATACTTTACAAATTTGCTTTTATGGCACCACGGTAGATTTTATAAGGAATTTAAAGTTCTTAAAATGTTATTTTACCTGATGGGTTGAGTAGTATATGTCGTGTCCAGCAAAGTCCCAAATACTTAATGAGACTCCTTCGCCTCTACCGCTATCAGTCCCGTCTGTTCCTATCTCCTAAGGAATAAAGAAAATAAATACACATCCATATGAACAATTATCTAATGGTCTAATGGATTATTTGTCGTTATACACTCCTGTGGAAACACACCATAATCCGATGATACCGTTAACCATAACAGATTATCATACCCGTTATCGGAGGTGGATATATCTGTGTATGTTGGCAGTCACAGCTCTGTAGAAACGTTTTTGTAAACATTAATATTTAAGGTTATAATACACAACGCTCACTTTCCAAATAGTCATCTAGTGAACCAGGGACGTGATAGAGAAGTACTGGAATCAAGCCGCTCTCCTTCGACCCCATGCTCCAAGCCGCCGAAAAGTTATGCGCTAATGCTAGGAGTCCACTGGGCCAGCGCCAGTTGGTGCCAGTTTGCGCCAATGCAATTTACTGTTGCACCTAGTGTCGCCAATAATGTGCCTAGTGGCGTGTAGTGGCTCAAACTGCCTCCCAACTGGCTCGTGTTGGCCCGTGATGCTAGGAGTCCACTGGGCCGGCGCCACTTTGCGCCAGTTTGCGCCAATGCAATTTGCTGTGGCGCCTAGTGTCGCCAATAAGGTGCCTAGTGGCGTGTAGTGGCTCAAACTGCCTCCCTACTGGCTCGTGGTGGCCCGTAACGGCACCAAATTGGAATGTGGCGGCAAGAAAATTTCAAAATGTTTGAAATTTTCGTCGCGCCACTTGCATCGAGCAATCAGCGCCAAGTGTCCGCCAAGTGGCACCAAATGGCGCGAACATATCGCTCTTTGGCGCAAACAATCCGCCTATTGGAATCCACTGGAATGTAATGGCGCGCGCCAAGTTGCGCCAATGAGATTTCGCGCCACATGGCGCCACTTGGCGCCAAGGGGCACCTTGTTTGCGCCCCGTTTGCGCCTCTACGCGAGCCAAACGGCACCCGATTGGTGACTACTTCACGCCAAATGCCACCTGGTTGCCCACCATTCGGCGCCACTTGCCGCCTCACAGTGATGGCGGCAGTTCTCCAAGCTCCAGGGATGAGGTTGTGCTGGGCATCCTCCTGGTCCAACATGCGGACGTCCGGTGCCTGATAGCGCTTCCTGATGAGGTTGTGCAGCATCACGGCAGCTTCAACGAGCAGGCGGACTGTGTCTGGTTCCTGTCTCATCTGGCTAAGGAAGCACTGGAACTACAGAGCCAGAATGCCAAAGGCATTTTCAACCACACGCCTTGCCCTGGACAGCCAGTTGAAGATCTTCTGCTGTTGGTCCATGTTACAACGGCCAGAGGGCTTCATGATGTACGTCCTCCCACGAAGAGGTACGGTATAGGGTGCTCTTCATCATCATGGGGAAGAGGAGCTGGATCTGGGATGCCTAAAGTGCCAGCTTCAATGCACTCCTTCAGTTCACTGTTGTTGTAGATCTGGGCATCAGACTGATGGCCAACTCCACTCACATCGATCCACATGAACTGGTACTTTGAATCTACCAGAGCCATTAGGACAACCGAGAAGAACTGCTTGTAGTTGAAGTAAAGGCTGCCTGATTTGTTGGGCTTCTGGAGATGGAAGTGCTTTCCATCATAGGCTCCCAGACAGTAAGGAAGATTCCTTCTGGCTTCAAAATCACCTGCAACCTCAAGCCAGCCTTCATTGGTTGTGGGGAGGGAGATGACTTCTGCAGCATACTCATCCACTATCGCTCTGGCCACACCAGGGACAAACTTCTGGATGGTTTCCTTGCCCACTCGGAAGTTGTAAGACAGCTCGGCAGAGGTGGCCCCAGTGGCGAGATGGCACAGGAAGACGGACAACTTGAGACCAGGGGGAATGGATTTCCTGAAGTGGGTGTCCTTCTTCTGCAAGTGGGGTGTAAGCCTGACCAACAGGTCATCAAACATCTCTGGGGACACCCTGGTGTAGTTCTTGAACTTCCTCCTGTTATTCTCCCTCGGCTCTTCCATCAAAGTGTGGTACTGTCCACGTTCGGCCCTCAACTGTGGGTGGCGCATGGGTCTAAACCACCAGTTGTGCTTCCCTTTCTTCTTAGGAGGCTCTTCTTCTTCAGGATTGGCCAGCATAAGTTGATAGGCAGTGGCCACCTCAGCATCTCTCATCCTCTTCTGATGGAGCAGCATCATCACTCCAACATTATCAAAAGCCTCAGACATATCAAAATTGTAAATATTTAGTAGAGATGTTGTTCATACAGCAGCTGAGGAGGGTCTGAACCAGGTAGCCGATGGCCGGTATTTATATAGTCGGCAAGTAGCGCCAAGCGGCGGCAAGTTCAAACCAATTTGGCGACCTTTGGCACAAACTAATCACCAAGTGGCGCAAAGTAGCCGTCTATTGGCGCGAATGGCGCCAACAGGGTGAATTTTGGAATCAAATGGCCGTGTAATGGCGCAAACTGGCGCAAACTGGCGCAACATTTTGGAGCAAGCCGGGTGGCATTTGGCGCACGCCATATGGCACCCAGTTTATTCCACTTGGCGACACATGCCGAGCGGACATTAATTCGGCGCCACAGCGAGCCACTACGCGCCAATCACATAATCTTTGGCGCAAACTGGCGCCAACTGGCGCCGGCCCAGTGGACTCCTAGCATGACGGCACCAATTTTGAATGTGGCGCCACTTGCATCGAGCAATCAGCGCCAAGTGTCCGCCAAGTGGCACCAAATGGCGCGAACATATCGCCCTTTGGCGCAAACAATCCGCCTAATGGAATCCACTGGAATGTAATGGCGCGCGCCAAGTTGCGCCAATGAGATTTCGCGCCACATGGCCAAATAGGCAGTGGCCACCTCAGCATCTCTCATTATCTTCTGATGGAGCAGCATCATCACTCCAACATTATCAAAAGCCTCAGACATATCAAAATTGTAAATATTTAGTACAGATGTTGTTCATACAGCAGCTGAGGAGGGTCTGAACCAGGTAGCCGATGGCCGGTATTTATATAGTCGGCAAGTAGCGCCAAGCGGCGGCAAGTTCAAACCAATTTGGCGACCTTTGGCACAAACTAATCACCAAGTGGTGCAAAGTAGCCGTCTATTGGCGCGAATGGCGCCAACAGGGTGAATTTTGGAATCAAATGGCCGTGTAATGGCGCGAACTGGCGCAAACTGGCGCAACATTTTGGAGCAAGCCGGGTGGCATTTGGCGCACGCCATATGGCACCCAGTTTTTTTCCACTTGGCGACACATGCCGAGCGGACATTAATTCGGCGCCACAGCGAGCCACTACCGCGCCAATCACATAATCTTTGGCGCGAACTGGCACCAACTGGCGCTGGCCCAGTGGACTCCTAGCATAATCTACAACTGCTGACCAGGTGGTGAGATAAAAGAGCGCATGCATTTCAGGATTTAGAATTCCTACATCAGAAAATGGTATCACAGCAACTGTTCGCTGTCCCTTTCGATGGTTTCTCATCCATTGTTGAATGTGGAAAGAGTAGAACAAGCGAACAAAAACACGCATTAGCAAACTTAATGCTATTGAAGATTGTAAATGATGGATCAAATAACGTGACATTAAAACATGCAAGACTTAGCGCATTATCCTAAACTATTCAGTTTTTGTCAGGATGTAATTTTTCTTTTACCAACTCTGGCACACAAATTATAGGAAGGACGGAGTTCTAAATTTAGAAATATGTTTGATGCACTATTCGCAATACAATCCCCATACACAGTTTTGGATTTACACTGAAATTTCAAGTTGCTGGTAATTTAATATTTTGTAATAAATGTAAAACTGGTGCCTGGCTTCCGAAAGTCCCCGCAGTGGAAGCGCGGTTCGGAGCATGGAACTTCAAAGCCAAGTGGAATGTTACACATCCCATTGTTACGCTTTAGAACTCACGAATGCGTTGAATAAATTACAAGGGTTTCGCCAGCTTGATTCCAGTCCTTCTCTATCAAGTCCCTGAGTGAACCTCGTAACTTCTGTTAGCCACGCAAACATATCGTCACCCGTTTCACGAACCGTCCTCTCTGGCCAAATTCGGCATTTTTTTCAATTTTTATTTTTTTGCATTTTTTTCATGTACTAATAAATACCTACATTTTGTGAAAATTTCAGAGTCTAACATTGCGCGGTTACGTAATAACGACGTCATCGTAAAGCGTCCTCTTGCAATAAATTGGATATTTCTGTACCACGAACCGTCCTCTCTCGCGCTCGCGCGCTCAGGACACTTCGTGGTGAAGAATTTGACGTAAATTGATCCGTCTGCTGCACCACGAAGCGGCCGCTTCCCTGGAAAGTTTGCCCGGATCCAATTATTTCGTAAGTATATGCTCTAAGATCTATTTTCTAAAACATAAAATATTTTCAAAAAACAATAAGAGATTCTTCCTTCGGTTATAGCAATTGTATTTTTCTAAAAAGTTCATTTTATCATTAAATTCTCACGAAAAATTATGTTACAGTCCCGCCTATTCAGTTTTTGGTTGGACCTAACACGAAATCCTGTCTGACTGTTGATAATAAGAACTAACTTCAGATCTACTGAAGATATCTGCTTTCTAAGATTATTTAATGAATACTGTCTGTAGATTAGATAAACACAGGAAAAACTAGAACAAGAGCAATTCAACACTAGTAATTTAGGTCTAACTCTAGATCTAGACCTAGACCTAGGATCTACTTTGTCTTTATCTTACAATACTATTACTAACGACGACGATTTAGGCCTAGACCAGATCTATTTCTGATCAAAGAAAGACACAAATTAGACCTAGATGTAACTTAGTCTTAGTGTAGATCTAGACTAGAGTCTAGGTCTAGTCCTAACTTTTTTTAGTATTATTATTAAGATGTATAATGTTACTAACTAACCTATCTTATAGATTTTATCTAGATCTAACATTTGGACTAGATAGTTAAGGTTTTACCTAGGAGCTCCACCATTAGCAGATCTTAAGTCATTTGTGCCCTGCCCATTTCGGGGACCAAAACTGAAAGTTCTATTTTATATGTAATCTAATCAAGATAGTTACAATTAACGTACTGAACAATAGTTGGACTTCATCTAGATTAACCATTTTTTCATTACAAAAAAAATGTCTTATTCAGTCCCAAAAATTGGCAGGGACCAGGGTATTCATGTTCATGTTCTTGTTGACATTTTTATTTATGTACTTGAATGCATGGTGTAGTAAAATTATTGTAACTTTAATCTCTACCTATGTGTCAAATCATTGTGAAACCGATTTGTATATCATTGACTTTTATAATATTTTGTCTCATTTTTTTTCTTGTTTTTATTATCGCAGATGTGGCTGTGCAACTTAGAGAAGGAGATATCTAAAACAAAGCAGGTATGCCAAGACCAAAGAAGAGCAAAGGGAAAAGTGGATCAAGGTAAGAATTCTTATGTTTACCAGAATAAATATTTATAAATAATGAAATGGTGTTAAAAAACAATATATAGGTGATGTCTTTGACTTTATAATTTCAAGTGTTGGGCCAATATTAATGCAGAATAATAATTTCTTCATGAATTATAAAAAATAAGGCTATAATTTCTTTACCAGTTCATCTCTCATGGAACAGCTTAATATGTATGTTTATTACCGAATACATACCGGTATGCAAAATTGTTATGAAAATAAGGTTGTTGAAATCTCTCTTTCTTTTTTTTATTCGTTTTTAGACCGGATAAAGGCTATGATGTTTTGGTGCAATGGCATTTGAATGGTGCAAACAACATTGTTCATTCACCACTCCTTCAGTGGACAGGGAAGATGACAAAAGGGAAAGAGGTGATCATGGACTATGAAGGGACTCTGTGGCAAGGAATCGTTCTCGATTCAGAATATCTTGAAGATTCAGAATCGTCTGATGAGGAATTTGACATCCCCCTGGCACGACTTTCTGACAAATATGCAGGTATTACTCTCCTTTTCCTCTTTTTCCCAATTTGATATCATCTGAGTGTTAACCAGTTCTTGGGAGTATGAGAGTCTCGTCAAGAAAATGTTTACAATAATGAACTTGTGCATGAAAAAATGAACATATTTACAATAATGAATATGTATATACAAAAGAACGTAATTACAATTATGAATAAGAATGTTTGCATTATGAAAGTACAAGAATATAACAACAACAACAATCTAGACCAACTTTCCTACAAGATCTTAATGAGGAAAGACCGAAGCGCATGTTCAATATTATAAATGGATTCTTCTACATTTGTAAGATCTTTTTTTAGGGGGGAGGGGTGGGTGCAGGTTTGGGATGAGTCTTCTATTTGGGGGGGGGGGGAGGCATTGGAACTAGTGTGTATATTTCACTATTGTAGTCTTATTCATTTTTTTTTTTTTTTTTTTTTTTTTGGGGGGGGGGCATCTTCTTCGGAGAGTTTAAAACTAGTGTTTATATTCAATTTTTGTAATCCTACCCCAGAAGCAAAACTTGGTCCTCTACCCGTATCATCGCCATCACTTCCTGAAGATTCAACAGGATGTGGATCTGGATTGCCTGAACCAATATCCATCGCAAGTGACCAGATAACACAGTCTGATGAGGAATTTGACATCCCCCTGGCACGACTTTCTGACAAATATGCAGGTATTACACTCCTTTTCCCAATTTGATAGATAAGATAAGATAAGATTTTATTAAACTCTATCGAACCCCGATCGGGAGTATGAGAGTCTCAACAAGAACATATTGACAATAATGAATTTGTGCATGAAAAAATGACCATATTTACAATAATGAATATGCATATACAAATGAACTTAATTACAATTATGAATAAGAATGTTTGCATTATGAAAGTACAAGAATATAACAACAACAACAATCTAGACCAACTTTCCTACAAGATCTTAATGAGGAAAGACCGAAGCGCATGTTCAATATTATAAATGGATTCTTCTACATTTGTAAGATCTTTTTTTAGGGGGGAGGGGTGGGTGCAGGTTTGGGATGAGTCTTCTATTTGGGGGGGGGAGGCATTGGAACTAGTGTGTATATTTCACTATTGTAGTCTTATTCATTTTTTTTTGGGAGGGGCATCTTCTTCGGAGAGTTTAAAACTAGTGTTTATATTCAATTTTTGTAATCCTACCCCAGAAGCAAAACTTGGTCCTCTACCCGTATCATCGATCGCCATCACTTCCTGAAGATTCAACAGGATGTGGATCTGGATTGCCTGAACCAATATCCATCGCAAGTGACCAGATAACACAGTCTGACAGCCATGCAGGTAAAAATATCTTCCAATAATAGTTCATGACTATTCATAATAACATAAAGAAATCAGAGGACTGTCCACAGTACAAGGAAATTATACTGATGATAATAACTAAAGTGAAATTATATTGATACAGTTAGAATGGACAAAAAGCACACTTCATTTTATTGATTGTGTACGTGTTCTGAATATAAAAAGGATTTTCTATTCATTTATTTAATATCCTGATCAATTATTATCACACTTATTGTTTCTGTTGTGCTCAATATAACTTTACCTGTGTCCCGAAAATTATGTCATTACATTCACTATCATTGTTTTCCCTTTGTCTTTTTATCTTCTCCAGATTCTCCGCTCCATCCAAACATGCAGTGTGGTCAGAGAAATCCTGAAACATGTGACAATTTCATGTGTACTGATGAAGTTTGGGCAGCGTGTCCAGAGTGCTTGTGTTTCTTATGCTTCCTTCATTTTAACTTACGTGATGATTGCCTTTGTCATAATCTTGCATTCAATCTCAGTGAAATTCCACTTGACATCAGTTCAAGTGCATCACAGTACCAAGGGCTCACCAACGAAGAAGAAAGGAACAATGAAGACGAGGTTATGCCGTTAATGGAATCAAGAAGAGGAAACTTTGAAAACCAACAGACGTGGGAATCCCAAAGAGAGGGAAGAAATTGCAGGGGCATACAAAGTTCACATTGCTGAAAAAGAAAAAGTAAGAGAGTTGAAGAGTCTTGCTAAGGAAAGAGCTTCAGTTGACCACACATTTGTCTCTGCAGTTTTCGATCTGGAGCAGGTCATTTACTTGCCGAAGTCCCCACAATCTGACATTTTCTACAAACGTAGACTCAGCAACTACAACTTCACGATATATGAACTTGCAAGCAAGGACGGATGGTGCTTTCTTTCACACGAGTGCGAAACAAAAAGAGGATCCTGTGAAATTGCCTCACACGTCCATCGGTACCTTAACAGTCTAGATGAGAGGGGTGTGAAACAAGTAGTGTTCTACTGTGATGGCTGTGTCGGTCAAAATAAGAACTCTATCATCCCAACAATGCTGCAACATTTCATCGGAAAGGCTAAGTCCGTTGAATCGGTCACAGTTAATTACTTCCCTACAAACCACGGACAAAGTGAGGGTGATGCCATGCACAGCGTCATAGAACGAAGCATTAGACGTGTGAAAGAAGTCATGGTACCGACTCAATTGAGCACCATTTGTGCGATGGCTCGTCTTCACCCCCATCCTTATCATGTAGTAGAAGTCCAATCAAGAGATATTGATGATTGGAAGTCTGTTGGTCAACAGAAAGGTATTCTGCGAGTCCAAACCTCTGAGGGTGGACAAACCGTAGACTGGAAGAAATTCATGGCTATGAAGGTCGTGAAAGGTGAAGTGGATTCCGTGTACTTCAAGTATTCTCACACTGATGAAGAATTTGATGTGATCAGGACAAACCAGACACGGAGAGGTGTAGAAGAGGTCACTGAAGTAACACCCGAGCCTCTCTACAGGAATGGCCCACCAAAGTTATCTTTGGGTAAATATCAGGATCTCAAGGCCCTCTGCAGCGGCACTACACCTGCAGTCTGGCACCCACTCCACCAGGCTTTTTATGATAAGCTGCCTCACTACTAAACTATGCTACCCAAATGATATCAGTTAATTAATGCTTTCATATTCTTTGTTTCCATAAAAAGTAATCACTGACCAGTTCATATCTGAAATGTAGAGTTGAATCTGCTAGATTGTGACGAGCTGTGTTTGTCATTATGATACTTTGCGTATTTTCATATGAGCGATTTCAATTTTTGTTGAAAATCAAATCTTAAAAAAAAAAGAACTTGTTTATAAATGATTCACAATTGAGACTAAAAAAATACTTTTGCATGACATCGAAACGAAAATTACTTATTTCATTGGTATGAGATGTATCTAGCACAAGAGATAATATATCAATGACATATTAATTAAATGATTTGTATTGAATGATGCATTCTTTGGGATATTACATTCATAGTTACGAAATTAAGCTGGCTCATTTTATTTATTTATTTTTTTCATCTGTAAATATTGAAGTTTTAATATAAGGAATAGACTATAGAGATGAAATTATCAAATGAATTGACGAGAAATAATCAATTCTTTTGAATATTGTGTCAATATGATATTTATTGTACTCAAGACAAGTGATATTTTACCATTTCCATCTGTAAATAATGCAGTTTAAAAACAAAATGTAATACACTGAAATAATTAAATGAATTGACGAGAAATAATCAATTCTTTTGAATATTGTGTCAATATGATACTTATTGTACTCAAGACAAGTGATATTTTAACATTTCCATCTGTAAATAATGCAGTTGAATCTGCTAGATTGTGACAAGCTGTGTTTGTCATTATGATACTTTGCGTATTTTCATATGAGTGATTTGAATTTTTGTTGAAAATCAAATCTAAAAAAAAAAAAGAACTTGTTTATAAATGATTCACAATTGAGACTAAAAAATACTTTTGCATGACATCGAAACGAAAATTACTTATTTCATTGGTATGAGATGTATCTAGCACAAGAGATAATATATCAATGACATATTAATTAAATGATTTGTATTGAATGATGCATTCTTTGGGATATTACATTCATAGTTACGAAATTAAGCTGGCTCATTTTTTTTTTTTTTTTTCATCTGTAAATATTGAAGTTTTAATATAAGGAATAGACTATAGAGATGAAATTATCAAATGAATTGACGAGAAATAATCAATTCTTTTGAATATTGTGTCAATATGATATTTATTGTACTCAAGACAAGTGATATTTTACCATTTCCATCTGTAAATAATGCAGTTTAAAAACAAAATGTAATACACTGAAATAATTAAATGAATTGACGAGAAATAATCAATTCTTTTGAATATTGTGTCAATATGATACTTATTGTACTCAAGACAAGTGATATTTTAACATTTCCATCTGTAAATAATGCAGTTTAAAAACAAAATGTAATACACTGAAATAATTAAATGAATTTATGAGAAATAATACATTCTTTTCAATATTATATTTCTATGAGATGTATCTGGCTCTTTCAGAACATTGGTATTTCTTATCTGTAAATGATACAGCTTTAAAGAGAAAAAAATTATATGAAGATGAAATGATTTGATAACATGTGTTGAAGATAAATGATGTTTTCTTTGGAATAATACATTCCTATGAGATGTATCTGGCTCATTCCTTTTTTATCTGTAAATAATGCAGTTTAAATAGAACTCTGAATTTACTACGGATATGAAATAATTACAATAATTAAAAATAAATAATGCATTTGTTAAATGATGTGTTGAAATTTAATATTTATATCCGTCAATAATGCAGTTTAGAAATAACATAATGAAGTAAACTTGGAAATGGAAAATACGAGATGTATCAAGGACTAGAATTTAATGTTTCTATCTGTAAATAGTGTAGTTTAAAAAAATAACAATGAAGTATACATTGGAAATAGAATAACTACATGAATGGAAGAAAAGTGATACATAATTTTAAATATTTCATTATTGTGATGAATCTGACTAAAGAGATCTTGGTGAAATTTTGATATTTCCATCTGCAAACAATGAAGTTTAACAAGATTCTATGGAAATCAAAATGAATAGAATGTGGAAAAGTTATATATCCTTTTGAATATTCCTAAGACATGTGCATAATTGAATATATTTCATGCAGAGTTGTGAGGAATAGGATTATTAAAATCCTCTAATTTGATGTCCAATATATCACTTTTTCATTAATAGAGACAAAGGTTTTACTTTATACAACTGATATAAAGAGTCAAATCACGAGGACTTCTTGATGACTGGATATGAAGAAACAAAAAAAAACAAAAATTGAAATAACATTCCATCATTGTCCATTCTTTTTTTGTCTCAATGAGATCTAAACAAACATTATGCCAAAATGTCAATGTGTGTGATTTTTTTTTTAAAGGAATTGTAATTCGTCTTGCCTATTTCAGATTTTGTTCTGTCTGTAAATATTTCTGTTAAATATGTTGCAAATACTATGGAATGAAATAATATGATGATTATTAAAAGATAAAAAGACACAATTGATAAATAATCTATGTTTGTTTATTTTTTTTAATATTTGAAGCAGGCAATGGACGTGTGTATCTAAATCCTTTGTTTCCATGCATGTCTGATTTATCTGATTTTCTTAATTTAAAGTGCCTTATGAAATTACTGCAGACAAATTTAAAAAAAGAAGAAAGAACGGAAGAAATAAAGAAAGAAAGGAAGAAAATTTGGTAAAGAAAGCAAGGAGGAAAGAAAGAAAGAAAATGTAAAGAGAAGGAAGGAAGGCAGAAGAAAAAGTAAAGGAAGGAAGGAAGGCAGAAAGAAACAAAGAAAGAAGAAGCAAAGAAAGAAGAAGCAAAGAAAGAAAGAAAGCAAGATTTACTATCAATCCAGAATTGGACAATGTTAAAAGAAGAGCATTTTGATTTCGTCCAGTAAGATAGCAATACTAATAAACTAACTAATAAATTTCAAATAAAAGAAAAAAGAAAAGAAAAAGACAAATTATTGCATGCAATGAACTGATTTCCAATAAACGAATTTTGCCTGTTATTCAGTACAAAAAAAAAATCAATATTGAATTAAAATAACTATGAATGCTCACAGATCATACTTTAATTGAGATTTTCTTAAATATTCATTCGGTTTGTACACATCTTGTTAAGAGCGGACGGTTCGTGGTGAAATGGATTACTGTTGTAACGGAATTCATCTTTTTCACGAACCGTCTTCTCTGTTTATGAGGCAGTACGGACAAAAAATATTTCATCATTTTTGAAGAATTGATATTGAGTGAGAGTAGATGTGTCATTCTTTACTCTCATCATCACCCGGATTATTTCAACATCCCTAAAATGTTTGAAAATGTGAATTAGAAAACCGATGTCTGTAAACAACACTTTCCGATTCTCAGTCACTTCATCTTCCATTCATTTTGTACGGTTTTCAGTTGCGCGTAATAGGAGCGGACGGTTCGTGGTGAAAATAGCAATGCGCATTGTGCATTTCATCTTTTCCACGAACCGTCCGCAGGAGAGCGGCCAGTTCGTGGTAAAGACGCGAGGCGCGATCGCGCACTATATCTGTTCCACGAACCGTCCTCTCTGTTACAATGCTCGCTGTGGCGTAAATAATTAAGTTCAAGAAAATATAAAGATATGGGATGTAACTTTGGGACCTGAACTATCGAATGAAGTCATCGGTTTTTAATTTGCTCTACTTTTAGTTATAATTATTGCCGGTTTAAAAAAAGCTTTTCTTTAAATGCGTTTTCTGCGAAACTAACTTTCGCATCAAAGTGCGCAGAGAGGACGGTTCGTGGTGCAGGCGACGATATATTGCGCTTTTAAAGAAACAGACTGATTACATTCTGCTAAGGATTACTCTTACCGGTAATTGTTTATTCAAAATATACAATCACTTCAAGATATATTTAATCGAGAAATTAAGTTCATAAACACATGGCTTTCTGTAAAAAAAAAAC